CTCAGTGCTATCACTTAGTCCCGGTATCAGCGCCAGACAGTCACATGATCACCGGCGAAGTAGAACAGACGGTTGGGTAAGTGGGACGGAAAGGAGTGGAGGGGTGACTAGGCGAGCGGGCGAGGGGATTGTTTACCCTAGCGGTAAATCGCCTAGCCTAAATGTAACTGACACCAGCTTGAATGCCATTGAGTACAGAAATAATTACACAGGAAGGGGCAAAAAAGCTTTATGCAGCCATCCGTGCCTTTAAAGTACTCCTTGTACTTTAGGTTGCCCTAAATAGACCTGCGACATGAACATTAAACCCTGCCGCCTATCGTGCACCCACACACCCACAGATATCGACACATCGGGTTGCAGTAGGCTCCCGTCCACACAGACCTCCACGGGGATGTTGATGCTACCGATGATGACATTTCCTGAAATAACAGCCGAAAATAAAAGATGATTTGCATTCCAGCCTGCCAAATGTTATGATGGTTAATGGTTTTTGACCAGCCGACAGACACTGCCGTCCTGGACATGAGTAGACAAAAACCGCTTCCTGTCGTTAACATCACCCAACACTTCCCTCCCAGCAGACCTCGCGGAAGAACAGCCAAATTGATCTAATAATACCGAGTTGTAAGGAATTATTTAAAGAAAATGAGTTTGACTGTTTACTGACGGCTTAACCAATAAAAAGCGAGAGCATACTTGGTTTATTTGATGGAAGATGCCACTCAAAGTGTCGTTTTTTATCTGCAAACAAATGGTTGATTTGATAGCAAGCATTGCCAACAATAGGTGACGTTGTCACTGGGTCTCAAATCTGTACAATGGAGGCTTGAAATTAATCCAGTACAGAAAAATGCGGAAGGGTATAAAGCACACAGGGGTAGAGTCTGTAGCCGGCGGGTATAGAATAACCCTCGCTAATAATCTTGCAGTTAAACAAAAGTTAAAAAATTGAAAAGAAGGGGCGACTCGGTAGAGGCGCTTCCTGAGTCTACCTTGGAGAGATTAATCAGCAGCATCAATTTGTTGGAGGTGACTTCTGCTATCGCCTATCCCCAGCTAGACGGGGGAAGGATTCTGCAGCCTTGGAATTGAGACAAATTTTACGTATTAAACAGACGTCCCCACATCACATCCGCCCCCTCCGGTCTACCAACCTCGGATGAGGTGGGAGGCTAAAATCTGCAAAAAGAAGGGAGTCAAGTGCTGAATGCGTCTCTCATGGAGTTCCTTAAGCCGAAAAAGCTCATTGCAAAGAGGAATACCGAAAGAGATCGCTCATGACAAGGACACAGCAGTGTGTTGGTATTGATGAAGTGGAAAGGGATTTTAGACAAATCTACTTTAAAAATTTTCTAGTCGCCCGAAGAATTTGTCATCCTTTTGATAGAACACGCCCCACACGTGCTTGGATCAAATAGTTGGTGTGGTGCTCTTTGAAGAGTCTCCACCATGTCGGGTCTACTTTGGTTCCTTATGTCATCATACGTCGGTCTTACGCAATGGACGAGTGTGATTCATGGTCTTCGGTTTTACGAGGCAAGTTCAACCAGTATTTAGGGACTGGAGGCTAACATCAGTTAGGCATGAATTTGGATGCTTGGGTCTGGATGCTTCAGAATGAAGTTGACTCGCCTTCCCCATAATGCAGGCAACTGCAAGTCATTATTTATGAGGAAAAGAGGTGATTAAGGTGTCCAGAAGCATCTGCGATGCTTGTCTTGAGTGATGAGAAAAATTACTGGCACTTGCATCAAACGAAAAGGTTGTGGAGGCTACTGGAGCGAAATGGGGTGGCAGATGTACCACATTTTTACAGATGACAGTAGGTGCAAACGATTTAATTGCCAATTCGAATTGCTTCACTGTTTGTACACACTGAAGGAAGGGTAGGGTGTGACTGACAGAGGGTTTGTTGACTGACTTGGTGTGAAAAGGAGATGCGGAATTGGCAATTTGTACACCCAACACACTGTCTTCAAGCCCTTCACGCACTGGCTGAAGCACACCACTTCAGGCCAAGAAAATGCGTCTGCTTTGTGTGGCGAATAAGAGGCTGAATTGTTCCTTAGGGACAGTTTTTTAAAGGAGAGGCAAATGAGGTCTGACACCAATCTCATTGATACGTTCCTTCCTGAGGTATACGGGTGAGGGAGCTTTTCTGCGTAGTGTCGGTGATGTAGTGATGAATCAGCGGGAAGAGGTTTAAATTCTGCGCCCTTTTGCCTCGAAACAGGTCCGTGAGTAAAAATGGACTCTAGTTGAGATTGGACGGAAGGAGTGAGCAATGAAAAAGTACGTAGAAAGGTAGAGGAAGATGAAAGGAGGATGGGCTAATGAGTGGGTGGGTGTGGTAATGCTTCGTTCTCTTTTGATCAGGACTTCCTCTCAGTACTTCAGAGTATTTCTTATGCAAAGTCAACCATTTTGGCAGAAGTCATAACTTTATAAATGATAACCTCTAGCTGCCTAGTACTGATCACTTAATAAAAAAAGGAGTCAAGATGGTCAAAGCGATTTTCACAGATTTGAAATAAAGGGATAATTTCCCATACAGCAGAACAATTTCATGAGTAGCATAATATTTACTTAAATAACTTCAGTAGGCAAACAATTACTTTCTTGACTCGCTGTGACATACGACATGATCCGATGATCCCCGCGCCTCATAAAATTTAAGTATTATTATTCTATTCGATGGTATATTAGAAAAACTCACAAGAATTATAAGAGTATGTAAACACTGCTTCCGCGATTTCCCCGGGATCATATTTTACGACTCAAAATAGCGAGGTCAGGGGCCTATATTTCGAGTCTTTTTGCGAAATCTATAAAACTCTAAAAATGTATTTGTTACATTTCTTGGCATTTATTAAAAGAATATGAATGTTATAATTGTTCCTTAAAAGTGTAGAAGCATGGGGAAGGGGACTGCCCCTACAAGACCGGAAAGTTGGGCAGTCTTAAACGGCGGGTTTTTTTAGCCATATTGCTGGATCCTACTGCTGATAGTCGAAACATACGCACACTCACACACACACACACAAACACAAGCCCACCCACACAAACACCCAAACACACGCAAAAACCTATCGTACAACCAAGACAGCCATGATTGGTCGCTTTGCGTGCTCCGAATCACCCTCGCCGCGCACTGATTGGTGCATGTTAAAAGCCTTTCGTTAAGCAGCCGCAACTCCCATATTCGCGATTAATACGATCGAAAGAGTAGGTGGGAAGGTAAGACCATGGCATCCGCGTCAAATGACAACGCTTTGGAGGATAAATTCCTCCTCTTCTGCGACTTTGTCAGAAAAGGTTCCACCACTGCTACTGATAAGACAATTAAGCGTATCTTCACGGATGGTGGAATTTACTGCAAGGGCATGGATCCCAATCGAGTGGATATTGAGTTCCGCGGATTTATCGGGAATACTAAACGGTGAGGAGGGAGGAGAGGGAAAATTTCCCTTCTCCACTTGTTTTTTTCGTCCCTTGTTAATGGTACAAGCATTTAATTACTTTAACACGATTTTATTTATCATTTCCTCATCCCAAACCAACTCGCGCTTCTTTTAAGCAAACTGTTGTGGAAAAATTTTAGAAAATCCTAAAATAATTTTTACTTGCTATTATTTAACAGTTTTTCTGTTTGCAAAAAGAGAAATGACATAAAATGCCTCTCAATTTACCGTCGATTACGGCTAGAAGTTCCAAAGTGGAAGTCGTGTGGCAATCAAATTAATCAAGGAAAGCCTCCACGGCATGCTGAAAGCATTTCTTTTTAAGGATCCTCTTAATCATTTTTCATTACAGAGTTTTATAGATGAGAAGGCGAGACATCTGGTGTAGAGACTCCTCATCTCTGATTGGTTCATTTTGTGGTGTCGAGTTTGATTTTGTTCACTTTCTTGGATAAAAAAGCTTTGATTTGATTGATTAAATTAGGATAAAGTAGGAGCACCTTTTTGTGTTAAGACAAGCAAAAAAAGTGTATTACAAAGTAACACTGTGTAAGGCGTGGCTTGTTGAGCAGATGCTACTGCCTTAGGACACAAAGTACGGGTCTAATCATCCTTGTGTGTGGAATAGAGTCGACAGTTCCAACACAAAACTCTAGTTGATGAAGGGAAGGCCTTGCCATCCTCATCCAAATTCTCCTATTCGGCCCGCAAAGACCTTAACATGGCTCGAGAATTTCTTCTCCCCTTTTGTATGCGATTCCCCAAAAGCCTTTGCCCTGTATTTAGCGCCAGTTTTATGGGAAAAGAGAATCAACATCTTCTTCCCTTGTGTAATCTAAGCCCTGGTTATCAAGCCCTCCAACGCACTTTGCACTCCAAGGAGGTGAGTTACTGCCGTCCTCTACCAGTTTGACATCCCTGACGTGTAAACAGCCGCGGCAGTAGGGCAGACAAATTAGGCGATGCTATTCATTTTTGCGGTAAAATATTGGGAATTATTTAGGCTAAGGAAGAGTTTGACACCTAGCAGAAGTCTCTCTCTCCGTATATATGCAAGTAAATTCCGTAGATGGAGTTGTTATTTGCGTAAATCTCCCCTCAAGGTGTGTTTGATGGTGTAATTGGAGGGATCACGTGACCTCCTTCAAGTGTCTTCTTTTCTTACTACCAACACGCATTTCTACTGCGAGCGTCGTAAATAGGAAGAAGAAGGTTGAATGAGGCACTTTTTCTCCTGACGGCCTTCAGCCATAATATAGCGTCGCTTCAAAAGCAGATCTTTCCGCCTGCTTAATACCTCTTCAGCTAAAGCGTGCCAAATTTTTTTCCTTCTTCTCTCTAGAGACGTCGATTTTAAGGGCTTTGTTGAATTTCTCGAGGGTCGATTAGCAAAGACCTACGCTGCAGCCAAGGGCATTGAGGATCCAGCCGAAGCGGCGGCCACATTGAAGTCGATGGTGGAGAATGCGACGCCTCAACTGCGCGGTGCCACGGTGAGTTCAAGTGTCACTTCCTCCACTATCCGTTACTATATTCTTGTAAGGCCAGTCAGGAAAAAGGTTTTATTTATCCGCGGAGTAAAAAGGCGTAAAAGCATAGTCTAAAGCTACTCGTCAATCACGTCAACTGTCACACATGATGGTAAATGCTAAGGTCACATTGGTGAGGTAAATTCCGCACCCAAAGAAATCAGGAATGTTCGTCTGGATGGGATATATTTTCTAACCCTCTCTTCCATACTCCTCTTCTAAGTTAGCACTGAAGATAGTTTAGTGTCAACATTTAGGAGGTCTGAAAATATGAGACCACAGCCGGAAGCCTTGGACACTAAGATGGTGGTGGTAGATTAAAATGCCAACGTGGTAAAATAAACCAGTAAAACATAATCACTGTTTCATTATACAATTTCATTCCTCTTTTAAGCGTCATTGTGAGGGGCGGCTTCATACACGATGGTTAAATGAAGTCAATGCCGCTTATTTACTTATAAGTAGTGTGTGCTGCCGTCTGGATAAAATGAGTTTGAAATGAGAAATTGAGCAGAAGGTAATCAAGACTAGTCGATGTTCCAGAGTAAGCGTACTCCATTGAACACCTGCTTTTGGTAGGAAGATGTAATGACCTCAGAGCTCTGCGTCATTTTTAAGTCGCTTACGTGCGGCATATCCGATCAAATCAATCACTTCGATGCCATTAATTTGGCACAAAGAGGCACATCAAAAGCTGATGTTAAGCTTTGATCATTGGCGAGGATTTGAAAATGGTGAACAGTCCTAGAAACCGGTATTTTGGTAACTCGTTCAAGGTGGTGCCTATGCCAATGGGTAAACGACACCGAGGAGTATTAAATTAAAGGTCAGTGATAGAACTTTATCACGATGGTAATGCACACAAAATGGTTTAATTTTATGAACAAAAATCTGGCAAATTTGTGCATTTGCTCTGCCTCTTAGAGGCCCCTTTCCAGTACGGCCCAAATTTGACTCACCGCGATGAATGTAAGGAAAATTTACTGGCTTGCTGAAAGCAAATGCATTATTAGGTCGACAATCCGATCTTATTACGATAAATTTATTTAACTCCTGTACACTACTGCAAAGTAAACTATCATAAAGTAAAATTGCGCACCAATTAAATGCGAACTACTTATAAGTGCAAGAGCCAATAAGAAGTCAAGGTCACTCGAGTTTACTAAATCAATGCAGATAGTGAATTGCTTTGTTTCCGCAAAAGCATCGTAAATTACTAAGTTTTTCTTTTGAGAAGGAATTAATTGCTTAAAAGAATGTGCAATTATTTTGGTCAGCAATTGTCTTTTAAACTGAGAACCCCCAAAAATCATGATTTATTTCCATCATTATCACACCTGCAGCGTAACAGATGTAGCTATTTACGTACGTGTGCGTGTATGTACATGTGTGGGATGGAATAGTGACCTCTATTTCGTGGTTAAACTGATTCTCCCCCCCTGTTTGCGTGCAGTCTAGCTTAAGTCGTTCTAACAAATTGATCAACACCTAGTAGAGAATGAATCATTGCGGCGATTGGTTGCATGGGCGAATTCTATAACTGTCTACTGTCTGAGTTGGGAGGGAAAGATGGTCGAAGCGATAAGGTGCGCGAATGGATGGATGGGCAGCCCAATCAAGGAATTGAAAAGTAGACAAACTCAATGGGATTTGCATGGCAGATTAAGGGGTGCCGCACATGTGCACCCACAGCAGTGCCACCCTTGTGGGAAACGTACAAGTTAGAAGGGCGCTTTAATGCCTGAGAAATATAGCTCTCGGAGGTGTGGTATCAAAGAGCACCTCACACAAGTAGGTTGAGAATGGAACGAGGGTGAGTAATTACGAGGCCTGATTTATCACATCTTCTGGCGACTTCCCCCTTCACACTTTGTGTTGTTTTAATTACCGAGGGATGGAACGATTTGGCCACACATATATTACTTGTGAGCGTTGTGAATCTATTAAAAAAAGAGCTTCCCATGCTCTGTATTGGGAGGCAACATTACTTCTTTACGAATGTCATAAAAGCGAGACATTTCAGATGGTTTGTTAATTAACTGGCTGCCTGACTAATGAGATGAAATTGCTTTGGCATTCTAGGGACCGATAAGGCGAACAAATCCACCATTGGTTATGCCCAAGTGATATAATCACCCACCATTCTTCCATCAGGCCGGAGACTCGTGGAGAGTTAGTAGCTCTCTTAAACTGTATGAGAGGCCTTCAGGAGTTTAACAGTTTGTTAAAGTGGTAAACTCTTAAAATTTGGGCTCCGATTGATGGCACTGTAATGAGCTTCCATCTAACAAACTAGGCGAAGCCTTCGATATAAAACCCACTTTGTGACGATTAAGGTCAAAAGAACTTGGCTTCACTTTCTTAATGGGGCGAAATAGTGATACAATTCTACGCGAATTTCAATCCAGACTCGTTTCAGACCTGACAGCTGCTTTTCCTCTCCGCATGGTCTAGAGGGGAGAAGTGGACCAATCAAATCGTTACTTCATAAGACGAGCTTCTAAACCCCATTTTGATTGGTTAATTACTCTGCGAGATTCTTTTACCCTTGTAATATCAAGTTATGTCCAAAAACCAGTGTATGTCTTTCCTTTTTACAACAATTTTTCTAGGATGTCAATTTTAAACATCGACTTTGTTGGAATACAGGAAATGGCTTTGACTTCATCAGTAATTTCCGATTGGAGAAAAATAAGGGAAAGTGACCGCATTGGAAAGCGATAGTAGAAGATAGAATATTCACCTTTCTACTGTCAACTTTGTAGAAAACCAGTACCGATGCGACTACTGCGCGTCTAACCGATGTTAAAGGTTACACGGGCTCAGCAAAGGAACGCTTTGATCCTTCCACGGGAAAAGGAAAGGGCAAAGCGGGTCGGGAAGACCCACCTCCAGCTTTCACCGCCTCGGGTATTTCTGCTCCTCGAAAATGAGCATTATGGATAAGTTACAGGTTTTATTCCGTGCTCCCCTTCCTTTCTTCCTTTTCATCTACCTTCCTCTTCCTTAAAATTTCCCTTTCTTTTTCGTGTTTTGTGTCTTTGTTATTTTGAATCCATGCTGCTTCCACAAACCTTTGTTTCCGTGACCTAGAAGAAAAAAGAGGGTGTATGCTACTAATATAAAGATAAGTAGCAAACCCTTGGCGGGAAAATGATTAGGAAAATGTACAAACAGACGAGTGTGCAACCGGTTACACTACGCAGACCAAAAAAGCTTAAAGTATTCCTTTTTTGTGCTTTATAGAGACCATGGCTGATATGTTGCATAAGTTTCATGTTACCTTTCGTTTGCGATATCCACGATCCTGGAGATCACTTAATAACCAAACCGGACAAATGGCCATAGAAGGCGTCAGAGATGACATTCCAGTCTACTCTCAGCAGCTTTACTCCGTCTTATCACAGTGGTGTATCTTTCAAGTCTGCGCTAATAATGGAGAGTGTTTTCTGCCAGTCTATCTTGCAATGGAATTTCTCGGGGTAACGACTGCCGGTAAATGTATTGTTAATAGTCTTAACGACCTCACCAAGGCGACAGTCGAAGGTGTTTAAATAAGGAACATTAGATTATCAAGAATGAAGCTTTTGGGCGTTCCCCTTTGGGTTATGCAGGCTGATTGCGATGGAGAAAGATTATACAGAAACACTGGTAGGTCTTCTTCTGCATTTCTAGGTAAGCAGAAAAGGGTCGAAAAAGTGAGGAGATACAACGCAGACCTCATGAATCATCATTTATCGGGTATAGCATAACCTGAATTTTGGGGGATTTTTCAGCGTAGCGGCTGACCCATCTTTGCTACTAAATTTAAATTTAGTAGCATAAAGGAATTACACTCATGGTCCATTTTCAGGTCTCAGATTCCATGATGAGACATCTCAACAGAATGACGATGGAGAGGATAAGTGTTCTTCTCCTCCAGGGGATACAGTGGCGTCCATTGCGACCTTTATTCCACTTTGCTGTAATGTTCTTGACCAAGGTGGTAAGCGGCTGGTGTGAGTAGACGACGCAATAAAAAATCTTACAGAAATTGGGATACCCGCCCAAATCATTTCTTTTCAGGAAAAATTTAGATTTTAATAAATTCGACATTCAATATATCAATACTCCCTGTGATGTAAACTTGTCGTGCCATTGCTGTTCCAGTCCCGCAGTTGATGAGGATCGAAGCAGAGCAGTGGCCATAGAGAATACCAGAGAGGATAATTTATTTATGTCTGCCGTTTGGGCATGCAGAGGCTTACCATCTTGGCCTAAGCTCAGATCTGCTTGGAATCGTGACAGCTTCAACCACAGCTGAACAATCCCGTATTAATCCTCCAAAAGGATCTTTTCAGGGTTTGGTTTCCCTAGACTCAAAGGCTTTTTCGACTTACACATTCGTATAGTTATCCTCATTGACTAATATGTGATGGAGACAAGTATTATGTACAGGATCAGGATAAACAGGTGACTAGGCATTCCAGCCAATGGAGCACGCACTAAATTGGCATTAAAGATCCCGCTTCCCCAAAGTTGATTTTCACAGGTTTTATAGAGCTGCTTATAAAGTTGTGCCTCTGCTGTCAAATGTTATGAAGCCAGCAGAGGAAAAAGGTGGCGAAGGTCTAAAAATCAGCCCTCAAAGGCTTCTGCAGACTGTACCTCTGCTTAGCAGCATTAGCAAGGGATCGGGCTAAGAGCTGCTCAGTTTCTCCTTTCACATATCTTCCATTGTCCTGATACAACTTGTTAGGTTCTTGAAGAAAACACATTGGTGGCAGCGGCAAACAAACCCCATCCAAAAGGTCAAATATACATATCTTTATAACTGATGGTTAAAATTAAACGCGACTGGGAGCAAAACTCTAACGAGGAGGTTTTAATCCTTGGATAGGATGAATATCCAGATACAATAGAAATATCGAGATGTATTACTAAAGTTGGGATCAAATATACGCCTGCATGAAGGGTGGCGTAACATATGCTTCTCTTAATTATTTGCTGTGATAGGCAATAAAAAAGGCAACCATACCTAAGATTAGAACAACAATTCAAAGATAGAACGATGTTGTGCATCTGTTTGAGTTTTTGTTTAACCACGAGTTTAGAAAAAAGCAGTATCTTAAGTTGGTATATTGTAGCGTCCTGAGACTCCCTGAAGAGGAAAGAAGACGAAATACTCGGGCAGAATATATGTTCAGCACAGAGAAGGTGTCTGGGCTATTGGCATGGCCCAAAAGGTCAGCCCACCAGCGAGGTACAAGGGGGCTGATTCAAAGTACAAAAGTGGCGCCGCACCAGTACCGAGGGATAAACCACTATCGTATTACAATATTCCAAACTCATTCTAGAAGCCATTAAGTTGTTGTGGACGAAATAATGCTTTATCTTGTATCTTTAGGGACTATTAGGACTTCATACATGACCAAATGTGGTACATTATTTTGTGGAGAACCATAAAACTTAAATAAAATACGCATCGTCAAAATCAAGTGAAATACCTCCAATTAAACCAAAAATCACAGGAGGTATACAAACGTTAGTTTAAAAAAGTCGGCAAAAAATTTAAAGGTTACTCTTATTAAGTGCATCTTAAATGTTACGGTTATCCTCGGTTTTAAATGTTTACATTTTTTCGGTAAAAATAGCATCGAAGAAGAATTTTATAGAATTCCTTTTATTCACTCGAAACACTAATTAGTAAATACGGTTATAATGTTCAAGGTGTTTATTTTGGCTTCAGGGTTAAAGTGTTTATCAGAGTCAAAATCCTAGGCCACATACATTCGTAATTTCAAACATCCTAGGTCTCGTACGATGTCTATAGAGGAGACGAATGTAGGTTTATCATAGGGAAGTATGTTTTATTGCATTTTAAAATGTCCTCCTTACATTCAAAAGGGGGTGTAATTCGGTGGTTTCGATACTGCATATAACTGCACTGCTATTTTTAATCATTTTAGCCCATTGCTCCCTTGCACTGCAGCCTCTTATTTGTTTTTTCTTTAAAAACTAAAAATGTACATTGTTTACTTGTATTTTTTTGATTCCATAAGTGGAATGGTTTGCTATCATGCTTTACTCACATGTACTTTAAAATGATACTTCATTTGTGGGTTGCTTTGATACATCAGAATATTTCAGTGGTACATGATTTTATAAAGGCAATTTGTCTGTGTAAACAGCTTAGATACTTATTGGTTTAGATATTGGTTAGTCGGTGACAGCAGACAATTCAGTTATTTTGCTTGAATTACCCGACCAGTCATTTCACGTTCATGATAACGCGGTATATCATTACACTTAGTATTTTCTATATGCATACGCTAGGTTTAGCATAGCATCACGTAAATTTGAGTAGACTTTACACCTACCATGCGATGATTGACACCACAATGTGAGCCTTTTATGACTCGGTGAGCCCTTCAGCATAAACAGCTTTTTCTGTGGCTCCCAGTCACATGATGGATTAGTAATTTACGTTTTCCCTTACTATCCCACAGCTTTTGTTGATTTTGAGTAACGTTAGTTGTAATTTTGTTCCTATTGACTTAAAACTTCCGTAGTTTCCAACTCTTGTAGGAAAGTGTATTTTCTAAAATATGAGGGTATTCTCACCATTTCATATACGCCTTTGTCATTTTACGCTTTTTCTACTAGGACAACGGTGAAAATGGGTAGGTCTCTTTCAATACCTGTGGATTTGTCCCTTAAGGCAAGCAGAAGTGCCTCTAATGGATGGAGTTAACGCAGCAGAGTCCGTGTTGAACCAGTTTCTGCAAAACAAATTCATCGAGGCAAAGACCACAGCACAGTCATTGTTGGTTGCTGTCACTTTCTTTCATGCTACTAACCTTTTAGAGCCAGCCGTAGTATGTACCACGCTGTCGCCTACGGCACCATGCTTCATCTACAGGCTACCGCCACTCTGGAACCCGTAAGCCTCATTCTTACTCCTTTTCATCCCCTTTTTTTGCACTGAGGCCATTTTAAGTTCAACCTTTTGGGACATAAGAATTAATGCTTGCGACATGAAGTTTTCAGGTAAATCCTTTTTTAAGTCATAATTTAAAGGGATAAGAGATCTTGAAGTCACTCCCATGGTTCTGTCATTTTCACCACACCAAATACTCACTCAGTGATTGTCAAAAGATAAAGAAATCTTCATCTTTCATAACGAGTGTATCTGAAGATTTTGGTCAGACAGCCTGTTCCTTTTTGTCACCTTAAGTAATGAGGAGGTAATTAGTCGTTGTCTGTCCGTTCTTGTTTTCCCTCGAATTCTGCTCTTATTCAACCCTACATTTAGTATATCTAAGCCCATCTCCTCCGCGTGTACGATGTTTCACTTCTTTGACTAAATTAGCTGAAAGTATTTCTCTTAGTCCATAATGGTGCAACTACCCTAACCTTGTGAGACACTTTGAGCAGAACCTCTGAACTGGCACATTGCTTCCACTCGTTGGTAGAGGTGTCACAGGACGGACCCAAAGCCTCTCCACCTCACCATATATGCTTCGACATCCTATTATAGCACCCATGGTATTAGTGCTCGTCAAAAAAGTAAGAAGAACTACACGACTAATTTAAAAGAAGCCTTGTTTTTTGCGATATGTATATATATAGACGTCAAGATTACTTTGATAGGTGGAGCTCCACACAGTGAGCAGTGTACCGCGTGGGTTTAGTGTTTGTATGTGTAGCACGGGTAACTTACACACAATCATTGGCTCTCTACCTCACCAACTCAGCACACACACACACACACATAAAAGAGAGAGAGAGAGAGAGGGGTGAAACTCAGCAAATAGGCTCTCCTCAAAATAATGCAGGTTAGCGCATAGCAGTGTAGGTAAAAACTGGTGGCAATTAATTGTTTATCGGTGGTAGGCGGGGGCGGGGGACGGAGGCGAGGCCGCCACCACCTCCAGTACCAACGCATCGGTGACTCAAATTATGCATCAGGCTTTCTTAATTCGCCGAAATTACTAAATAGGTAGAATACTGGACCCATAATTCGGTTTATATCCAACACTTTTTCTAACTGTCTGATGGCAAATAAAATTTAAGGGATCTTTGTTCATGGAAAGACGCTTAAACATTGTCAGAGGTGCCTGTATATGGCACAAGGCTTGTGGTGGATAGGCGGTCAGTTTATCGACACATCTCAACCCTGCTGTGTGGTGTGCATCAACCTCTTGCCCTCTTGAGTCGGTTAAACACACCCAAGGCCTTTAAAGATGGAGCTTCATAAAGAAAAACGTCTTGTGTATGTGTATTGAGGTGATGGAGGTGAAGAGGGTGGGGATTCTGCTCCCTGCTTACCATTCTCCGCCTGGCTTTCCACTTGGGGTCTTTCATCTCCCCTCACTGTTGGCTGAATAAATGCGAGAAAGAAGATAAAAGTGAGGTGTGTAGGTAGGTGGGTGGGTCAAAAAAAAAGAATTTATTTGTTCCCTACACTGCTCAATCAATAGGGAAGCCAACTGCTGTTTGTTTGTATGGGAAGGTTACAGGGCAACCACACACACTAACAAAACTCCAAAGCACACAAAATCGACAAAGTTAAGCAATAACTCTTTTTTGTATGTCATGTGAACTTCATAGCAAGCCATTCATATTTGATTTATAGAAAGGCTTCCTGTCTCTCTTTCTTTCCGCCTTTTGGAGTACTAAATAGTCAATCACCAAGGCACACATATACACACAGGAAATTCGTTTCAGTCGTGCAAAATTGAAGAAGAAAGTGCCATTTTAAATTATTAGGAATAAATTCTTTAAAAAAACAAAGATTTATTGCCCATTTTATGCGTTCCAAGCTCCCCATAAATCCGAATATATGTGTGAGTCAACTAAAAACTCATTTTGCGGTTGGTGGAGGCGAGGACGGCGGTGCTGCAACAGAGGTGGGGTTGGGGGCGGGGGGCGGGCGTGAGGAGGTGTGCTAATTTTAATGAAGTATTTCTACACCCATTTGATGGATGGCCATTACTCAGCATCACCTGACAGGCCTGCGAAATGATGGCATTTAAGATGCGATGGTGCGATTGCCAATTGATAGTCATGCTTTAATTAAGCCACGACTGGAGTCGCGGTTTTGGAGGAGAGAAAAAGGCAATGAAGCAACACCCACCAGTACTCTTCAAGAATCGTCACTCTGAGTTGTGCTTTTGGGTTTGTAGGGCCACTCATTATGTGGTTTTCGGGTCCCCTGTTGTTGTCGCCTTGTGAAGACATCTCAGTTGGGAGGAGAAGAGCGCGGATGTGGAAATATTTCCTGAGAATATGGAATAATGAGGTGCCTTTTTGGTTTGTCTTTAGAGTGATCTGGAGAAGGCGACAAATCACATCAAATACGCTGTGAAGGCTTGCCTGATGAAGCGGAGGAAGGCCAAATTTGCTGACAACTTCACTAGATCAACAAGCAAGGCGAAAGCAGCATTCTATGCGGCCTATTCGGATGGTAAGAGGGTTCGTCCATCATCCTATCTGTCTCTCCATCCATCCCTCCATCCTTGCCCTATCCATCCTATAT